GAATACCAAGCTTCCAGGAATTCCCTTGCATTTTTGGATTTTGCTTGGTCTAAAATGCTGACAGTTTCCCAGTTAAAACTATTGAAAGTTCCTGGGAGAAAGGTTGATTCACCCAAGGCTTTGCTTGATTCCAAAAACCAGTTCTTGGAAATCCTCCTATGCATGGAGAAATCTCAAGATTGAAACACCGAGATAATTGATTTTGGATGCCCCAGTGTTTCATTATATAAGCATAATAAGCTTGTTGCAGACATGCAAATTTGCCCAGCAGGAGGGACAAAACCACAACACGGGTGTTCCCCAGGTCTGAGCAGACAGGAGAAAGGAAGGAAAGCAGGGGACAAATTCTGCTACTTCCCAACCCTAGTTCCTCTACTCCCTATTTCACCCAACAATCCTGGGTCTTCAGATAATACAGTGGTACCTCGGGTTACGAATTTAATTCATTCCGTGACTCTGGTCGCATCTCGAAATGGTTGCAACCTGAAGGAAATTTTCCCATAAGGTTCAATGTAATTACCGTTAATCTGTTCTGGCGTCCGCGGACCATGCGTCGGGGCGGAAAAACGGCTGCGGACCACGTGGCAGGGCGGAAAAATGGCCGCGGACCACGTGTAATGGGCGGAAAAATGGCCGCAGACCATGTGTCACGGATGGGAAAATGGCCACAGGCCATGTGTCAGAGCGGAAAATGTCCGCAGACCACGTGTCACGGGAGGGAAAATGGCCGCAGATCCGGTTCGTTCCCCGAGGCGGAGTGCGTAAATCGAGGTAAATTTTTGTGGCCAGAGCTGGTCGTAACCCAAAAAGTTCGTTAGCAGAGGCGTGCGTAACCCGAGGTACCACTGTACTTCTTGCTCAGTGTTGGAAAGATAAACATATGGCTGAACTTCTCAAGAGTTCCTCAGCCAGAGAGAATCAGATCACATGCTGACCTACATTAGTTATGGCTGATTATCATGACATACAGTTACCATCCACTGAAATACTTTCATAGAAGGTTTATCTATGTGTCTGGGTCCATGAATATGTGCTTTCTCAATAAACATGCCTGGCTTAGCTTAAGAGAAAACATGTGCGAATTAACATAACCGGTGCCTGCCTGGAACCTTTTCTTACCTGGTGCAGCACAACCTCCCATCTCTGTGGCACTCGCATCTCAAGCAATGATCTGAATTCCAGGTGGACCCAAGGAGATGCCTTGTCCGATCATTTGGATCAACGCATGTGTTTGGCATCACCACTTTACCTAAGAGAAAAGACTCCAGTTGAACCTGCAGCTGAACCCAAATTCCCAAACTGTACCGAGAAACCACTTCCTAATTTGGAAGCTGCTGTGAGAAATCTACTGTTGGACAAATCTGACAAGGATATAAATTATCTGCACTTGCTGCATACAGTACAATTTTAATTTTCTTAATTATTAGATTAGTAAGGACCCCTGGTTATCCAAGGACTTCCAAATTAATACAGAAGGTCTTTTCTGGCCTAGATAGGAGACTTTTGATGGAAACCTGGCTTGTAGAAATTAAGCAAGCAACTTTTCTCCTGACACTTCTAGACCTGTGCAAGCCATAAAATAATTATTTGCTCAGATGAATAAGGAGCTTGGTTACCACCTTCAAGGTTGACTTTATTGGGCTGAAACCAGCAGGCTTCTTGACATGTAGCCAGCGTGAAAGAGAAGATGATCAGGCTGAAGAAGACTCTCTGAGAAAGGAATATAAGAAAAAATAAGCCACCAGAGAACTTACTAGTTGTCTGAGAAACTGGCTGTTCAAAGTCTTTCTAATGTTCTCTTTGATAATGTGCTGGTCTTGTTCATGAACTTTGGAAAAAGCCTTAGAGGCTAAGTTTACTATCTTGTCAGTATTCGGGTCTCCTACTAAATAGCTACAAAATAAACAATATCTGCTTGAGCCCTTGCCCAAAAGTCACACCAACAAAGTCTGGATTTTGCACTCATCCCACACCCCCCAAAATGCATCTCCCATCACAACATTGTGTTGCCAGCCCCATTGGGTCACTGTTCCCTTTTAAACACTGCATCAGCATGAAAAAGTGCTGGGGTGTAGGAAATGCTATTCTCCCCTTCACCCCCAAAAACTACTACTCTCAGAGACTCACAAGATGGAGGTAACAAGAAACACTCCCCACCTCACCCCTTTTAACTAAAGATAAGCTTAGGAGCTACAGTAGAAGAGGATGTTTTGTATTGCTGAGTGACTAACCCTCTTGAGTTAGTCTAGCAAGCGCAGTCACTGAATGAGTCTCATTCTGGATGCTTTTTATTCACAGAACACATATTAACATGGGCTGGAGTTAATCACACTGAATTAAGTGGCACATTAAAACTATTAGGTAACGTTCAATGCAGTCTTCTCTCTGGAGAGAAGCAGCAACTCTCCGATGGGAGCCGCCATCCATATAAGCAGGCAGGAGCCTGGGGGAAAGCTTTCAGAGCTGCTGTGGTTGGGTAGCACCGCAGGATTTCCAACCAGCTTCATTTTGCTTTACTAGATTCGTGCATCCTGAAAAATAAGCACAGATAGTAAATTTGGTGAGTCCTTGCTGACCAGTAGAATAATGTATCAAATAGAGCAAGAGTTCAGGTTTGTTATGATTCCTCCCTCCCCTCCCCTCCTCTCCCCTCCCCTCCTTCTTACCATTCTCCCTTTCCTTTCCTTTGTCTTGACTCCTGGCTACCGCCTAGACAAATTCAACCAGTTTTCCTGGCCATATTTTTGGAAGTGGTAGCCCAAAGTCACCAAGCTGGCTTCATGCCTAAGGCAGGACTAGAATTCATGGTCTCTTGGTTTTTAGCCTGGTGCCTTTAATTACTATACCAAATTGGCTCCCCCAAGAAGTATTATTGAGTTAAAAAGAAGAAGCTGCTTGAAAAGTGGGACTTTTGTGAAATTCCAAACCCTAGCAGAGTCAACCTCTCCATGGTTTGACTTAACTATGTTATTGGACCAGCAAAGCTGTTCCTGCCAATGATTAATATAACCATGGTGCGTTTGAATCCCTAACCCTAACCCTTATACCTAAGTGGACTATCAGAGGTTTCAGTGGGACCCCAAGACAAACCATTAATGTTTTGGGAAACTGGAAACAAGCAAGCATCCCCATTTGAACAATGCATTATACCGCAGCTGCAAACACTAGACCAAGAAGAAAATATAGTTTCTGCCATAAAACTATGGTTATTTGCTGATCCCTTTTGAACAAAGACAAATCATGGTATGGCACCTAAAAGCACCTGATCTCACCATAGCACTATTAAACTACTTTGCAAATGATCAAGTGCATGTACAATGAAAAAAACAGAAGCAGAGAAAGCCTAGGGAAAAGGGAACGGAGGAAAGAAGTTTGTCATTATTTTCTTGACATCAGCAGGATCCGAGACCCAGGAGACAGTGCCAAAGGCACCTCTAAAAACTGTAATTTGTGTTAGCTGAAGTTTTACTTGAGCTGAGCTCAAAAATTGTACAGGTGCATCTTATAGAGATGTGGACTGTCTCCAAGATGAATTTCAGCAGCAAAATTGTCCTCTATTTATGTGGTTACCTTGAGCAGGCCGGGTTCAACAGATGGTCATCCTTAACTGAATTGGGAACCCTAGCTGACCCTTTAATGCTCTTGACCTGAAGAATGCTTTTGAATCATGTATTGCCTGGTCCTTGGGGCTCAGTAGTTTCTCCGATGACAATGCAGGGTTGCCATCTTCTACTTTCTTCCGGAGCCTTCTTAAACTCAGCCCTGAGTGAAAGAATAGCTGCCAGCCTGACTGGAATTAAAGCTTCATGCAAGTTATATGGGCAAAGTAAATCTTAGAAAACCTAACCTGGAGGAGGTCACAGAAAATTAGAAATCAAAGAGGTGAACACCTTAAAAATAAGATGCTTTAAGGAAGGAGAGTGAGGAAGAAATGGGATAAGATAGAAAAATTGGGAGAATGTGGAAGTGAAAAAATCCTGGGGATTATGGGAGCCAAGAGGTCATAGGCTTATGAAACTGGCTGGTGATGAGGGTTGTAATCCAGCACTCGAAGGCACCAGGTTAGAGAAGGATGTTTGAGGCTAATTTTCCAATTATTATTTTTTTTTGGGTGGTGCACCTGTCAGCTTCTGCCTTTTCAAAAGAGGAGTTTTCTTTGCAATTATTTGAAGGGCTTATTTTTAATCTAGTTCCCCTGCCCCTGTCCACCCATCCCTGATCCATGATTTTGAAGGTACTGATTAAGTCCTCTCATTCTCAACCCCACTCTTTCCTTTAATTTTTTTTTTAAAGAAGGCTTGAATTTCCTGGCTGTGCATGCATCAGGAAATGGCTGATTGAACACTTAGAAATTTGAAAAGACATCTTTGAATGAAGTGTCAGTTTTGTCCTTATGAAAAGTACTTACATCTCCAATACTACATCAAGTATGCCAAAAATATGGGTGTATTCCTCAAACAGGCATTTCCTGTTTATGAGAATGTAGGTTTTTCTTCTTCTGTTAATCATAAAAGGAACTCAGTTATGAAAGCTACATCTTCCAGTAGAGTCCTGCACCTAGTATTTATACTGCTGGTTCCTGATTCTCACAGTTATGGATTCTGCCTCTACCCCAGAAGCAGAATTGTGTTGTAAAATAATTCAAATTCTTTCTGACATAGATTTCAGTGCAAAAATTGCAAAAAGAACAGCAAAGCTCAAAATGTTGTATGAACAATCCTCATGTCCTTGGCTAACTAGGGCATGATTAGACTCCAACCTGTCCCCTCTCTTGGCAGCTGCTATGGTGTCTCATCCAAGTAACCCCCCCCCCCCCCCCAAA